AGGAGGAATTCCGGCGCCAGAAAGAGATGCTGGCCCGAAGGCTGCAGCAGCCCCAGGACAGGTGGCAACTGCGCATGAAGTTCCTCCAGCAGGCCCAGCGCTACATTGGGACGCCCTACGCCAAGAAATACCACCAGCCTGGAAGTAAGAAACCGTATTCCAGAGTCAAAAGAGGCCAACGGTGATGCCCATAACACGGGCACAATTGGGGTGGGCATCTCCATCTCCACCGCTGCAGAAAAGTGTCCATCTCATTTCCAAGGCACACTTACCAGCAGTTCACTTAGTGACCGTTCAGAGTTACGACGGCACTGGAAAAAGGGACTCGCGACCGTACGCGCGACCGTTGCAGGCCACGTGACCAAAATTCGGAGGCTGGGCGAGCGGTTCCTACTTGAGGATCTTGCGATCCCCCTTTTGCGTCCTTCCGACAAACCAAGTCGACGGGGAACCCAGATCCACTTAACCGCCCTGTTAGTAATTTAACAAACGCAGCGGCTTGACTGAACAACCGTGGGCTAGAAAAGTCGTACAATGGGGCGAAACTCACTCAACAAATGTTTCGTTTAGCGACACCAATTTTGGGCTCAACTGTGGCCATACCTGCATTTTGCTATTTTTCTCCTTAGCTAGAGTATGCATATAAGCAATTCCTCCCTCCCTCAGTTTTCTCCTTTGGTCAGTCACCCCAAAGCTGGTGCCCTCCAAATTTGGCAGCGCCACTCCCCAAGACGGTGTGTGTCTGTGTGTGTGTGTGTGTGTGTGTGTGTGTGACTGCCATTGCCAAACCTTTTAAGACCAGTTGATTGAAAAACTAGTCCTGAGAGGCAAAATTACTTACATTCTCCCCTTTAACTAAGGGGAGGAACTACCATGATTGGTTGATACAGGTAGTCCTCGACTTGCGTCCAAAACTTCCATTGCTGAGCAAGGCAGTTGCAAAGCGAATCAATTTTACGACCTTTTTTTGGGGGGGGGGCAGGGGTTTGCGGTCAGTAAACAAATCCATCTTTCCCCTATTGACTTTGCTCATCAGAAGCCAGCTTGGAAAGCTGCAGATGATGATCACGTGACATCCATCAATACAGGTGCCAAGCACCCAAAGTTTGATCACGTGAGCTGAGGATGCTGGGAAGGTCAAAAGCATGAGAACCATTGATAAGCCCCTTTTCTCACTGCGGTTTTAACTTGGAATGGTCGCTAAACGAATTGTGGTAAGCCGAGGACTCCCATTATTTTTAATCCTTGTCCTGGCAGCCCCCCAACCCAAGGATAACCTGACCTCTGGGATGGTACCAAGGCCCAGATTTCTGATGACCCTTTAATTTCCGCATGCCCAGGCCCTGAATACGAATCTCCCCTTTTCCTGGATTGCTGCGGGCTCATCCGGAGAGCAGTGCGCGACCTGGCGGACGATTTTGGTTTCTACTTGGGCTCGGGCAACCAAGCCTATCAGTACGACACCCTTCCTGTGACCCTACCCAGCGAGGACCATTTGAAGCCCGGCGATCTCATCTTCATCTCGGGAGTTTACTTCGATCCACAACGTAATGCCTTCCGCGGGACCCCCTTCCTTCCCTGCGATCCCTTTGGGCAAGATCCGGTGCTTAAAAAGACCTGGATAGCCTGCCAGAGGCCTCCAGATCAAGCCCAAAGATTTTTCCGCTTAAAAGTTAGCCTTGACGGTGATGACGCCCTTTTGCTAATCGGGATAGGACAACACAGGGTTCATAAAAGAAGAGAAATAGATATATACCAGATAGATAAATAACTTTATCTGGTACGAAACATTAAAATGCTAACACAATGCATGAGAACAACACGTTTAAAAATTCAGACAATCTTTAGGAAAAGACTGCAGTTTAATTATGCAGGATAGAAAATTTAACTCTTAGCATCACCATTTTAAGACGCTTCAAATGCAGAAATATCTTGGCTGCTCTTAATTCAACCATTTCATGGTGCAGGACACAGAGCACCACAGATTTGAATCTTATTCTCTCCTTCAAAGAGGTTTTCAATTAAGACCTGGAGAGAAAACGTGATATAAATTAAGGAAGTCCCCCCCCGCCCCATTTAACCTCTTCTCACTGTTCCCTGCATTTGCTAACAGCCTAAATACCTGCCCAGGTGTGGGGTCCTTGACGCTCTTTGAGCTTGCAACCATTTCAAACATTACCGAACTAGGTAACATCGCCAGCGCTACCTGCCCAGGTGTTACCGTGCCCCCTCCTCTGCAGGTAAGAGGCAACCCCACGACATTGTCCATGTGGAAATCTGGTTGGGGGAAGGAGAACGCAGTCTGGGGGCCAGACGGAAGCGCGGCCGAGTCCAGGTCTTTGATTCCTACAAGTTCGTCTCCGGCTCCTACGGAGACGTGGAATACCACTTCAAGTCCATCGAGACGTGGCTGCAGGGCATCTGTGTCAGGTAAGCATCTCTTGGGAGGTGTCTGCTCTCCGATCTCTCTGTAACATTTTTTAAAAAAATGATGGGGCTCCACATCCAGTCAGGTGGCCCCCATCAGAGGATTATTGAGTACGGATTTCCAGGTTTTTATTTAGCTGTTATTTAAATGTACATGCCGCCCGTCTCGCCGAGGGATATCTGTCAAAAGGGAGGATGGAGAACGGCGTTCCCCCCCCCCTATGGCCCAATCCAGCTTTTTTCATCCTGGAGGTTCTCAAAACAGGTGGATTACCAAGCCCAGAATTCCCAGCAAGGGCTAGGCTGCCTGGGGAATTCTGGGAGTGGATGCCTACAGATTGGGGCTCTTGTGACCGAAGATGAAAGTCCTGCAGCGAGAAGCAGATGAGGGGAACAATCAAAAACTGGTTTTACATATATATATATATTTTAAAAAGGCAACCAACCTGGTTTTTTTTTTAAAAAAAATCTTCCATCTTTGCTCAGGCCAGCCCCTGCCTCATTGCAGACCATTCAACTAAAAGATCCTTGAATAGGACCGAGAGAGTGTACTTTTGTGTGTGTGTGTGTGTGTGTGTGTGTGTGTGTGTGTGTCTCCATGTGTGTATTCACAGGCATCCCTTTGAAAGTCACCATTGTCATTCCTTTGGCATCCGGCGCCATGTAATTCTCCTCTGCTGGCGCCTCTGGAAATGCTTGACGCCCACCATTGTTCCTGGCAATTTGAGATATGCCAGTCCTCCTTTCTCCCCCACCCGGGCCTTCCTCTGCAGCTTGAAATCCAAAGGTGTCATTACAATTTCAAAGGCCTCGCCTGAACGGGGCCGTTTAGCGCTTGCCACTCACAAAGGCAGCGGTGAATAATCATCTGGTTGGTGGGAGGCAGAGGGGTGAGATTCAGGCACGGTCCACCTTACAAACAGAATATCTGCAAGCCAAATTGTCTGTCTTTCTGTCCATCTCTGTCTCTATCATCTATCTATCTATCTATCTATCTATCTATCTATCTATCTATCTATCTATCTATCTATCTATCATCTATCATCTATCATCTATCATCTATCATCTATCTATCTATCTATCTATCTATCTATCTATCTATCTATCTATCTATCTCAGGGGTCCCTAACCTCTGGTCCGTGGACCAGTATTGGGCTGCGACATGCCAGCAACCGGTCCACACAAACAAGCAAAGCCCCATCCGTGGGATGCAGGTAGCACACAAAACCACGCACCCTCCAGTTCGTGGAAAAACCTTTCTCCATGGAACGGGTCCCTGGTTCCCAAAAGGTTGGGGACCTCTTATCTCTCTCTCTCTCTCTCTCTCTCTCTCTCTCTCTCTATCTATCTATCTATCTATCTATCTATCTATCTATCTATCATCTGTCTGTCATCATCATCATCATCATCACTTCTATCATCTATTTAATCTATCTATCTATCTATCTATCTATCTATCTATCTATCTATCTATCTATCTATCTATCTATCTATCTTTACCTATATCTATCTATCTATTTATCTATATATCATCTATCTATCTATCTTTACCTATATCTATCTATTTATCTATCTATATATCATCTATCTATCTATCTATCTATCTATCTATCTATCTATCTATCTATCTATCTATCTATCTATCTATCTATCTATCTATCTATCTATCTATCATCTTTCACTGGGAAAAACAAAAAAATCACTCTGGAACAGATCAGCTATCTGAGATTTTTAAACTGAAATGAGTATTTTTTTTTCACATCAAGGGAGTTCCAAATAGGAGGCGATACTCCTTCCTTCCTTCCTAAGGTGCCTTTTTCCCCACCTGTATTTCCTCTTGGTCTTATTTGAGAGCACACTTGAGGATGACCTGCCCAGTCCCTCTTCCGTTTCCAAAGATTTGGTCTGCAGTTCACTTCCCCAGAATTCTAGCTTAACCGGATGCCTCTCGGCTCAAGCCGGGGAGTTAAATCCCTTCCAGAATTGCTGGACGTCAGATAGTACATAAATATAGTTCTGTAAATGAAAATAAACTAAAGCAAAATAACCACATGGAAAAGAGGCACAAGATGTCAGGGTCACACCCCTGTACAAAAGGTTTTTGTTTTATACACCCTGCCTCTTTAGAGATGGATACCATGGATACCATCCATGGCTCATTCGCAAGCTGAGCATCGCAAGAGCCCTGCTGGTCTTTTTATTTCCCACAATGCCCCTGATAACCGCCGGGTGGGTGGGGCATTGTGGGGAAAGTCAAAAAGACAGGCAGAGACACACCCAAAGGGGGCAAAGCCAGAGAAGGACTTTGCTCTCTCCGGTTCCCGCAGCGAAGGTTCACACACCTCCACCTTGCCGGGCTCTCCGACTTCCCCGGCGGGAATTTTCGCCCCCCCTCCCCGGCACCAGCAACGGTTCCTAAGCAACTGTTGCTAGGAAACGGGCTCTTGTTGACAGCACCCAAGGCTGCCTGCACCCTCACCGGGGGAAAACACGGCTGGTCCAAATCTGGATGCTTGGAGACCGGGCTCAGGAGACAGCCGAGCGTTTCTGCAAAAGCCCTGTCAAGTTTCAGGATGGCTGATCTGAAAAACACGCCCTCTAGAGCGCTCTCCGAGCACGTAGGGCACGCCGAGTCAAGGTTAGACTTCAGATCTTTGTGTTTTTCTCCTTGCTGAGGGGTCAAAGCAACCTCCCCAAAGAGCAACAGGTGGCAGCTGGTGCTTTCAAGAAATCCAAAGGGCTTTACTGGAATAACAAAGTAGGAAGGGGTTTTAGAGGTCTTCTAGTCCAACCCCCTGCTCAGGCAGGAGACCCTACATCATTCTGAACAAATCTCTTCTTACAAAATCTCCCGTGTAGGAGCACCCACAACTTCTGGAGGCAAGCCATTCCATTGATTCATTGTTCTCACTGTCGGGAGATTTCTCCTTGTTTCTAGGTTGCTTCTCTCCTTGATTAGTTTCCATCTCTTGCTTCTTGTCCTCCTCAGATGCTTTGGTTAATAGATCGTCCCTGTCTTCTCTGTGGGAGCTCCTCAAATACTGGAAGGCTGTTAATCATGTCACCCCTAGTCCTTCTCTTTGTTAGCCTAGACCAGGGGTAGGCAACCTTGGCTCTTTTATGACTCGTGGACTTCAACTCCCAGAATTCCTGAGCCAGCAGGGCTCAGCTTGGAAACCTCTCCCTTTCCCCTCAGCATGGCTGGCTCAGGAATTCTGGGAGTTGAAGTCCACCAGTCATAAAAGAGCCAAGGTGGCCTACCCCTGGCCTAGACAGACCCATTTCCTGCAACCTTTCATGGCATGTTTTAGCCTCCTGCCTCCCTAATTATCTTTGTTGTTCTTTTCTGCACTCTTCCTAAGGTCTCAACATCTTTGTTTTTGTATCGGGGTGACCAAAACTGGATGCAGTATCCCAGGTGTGGCCTTATCAAGGCATTATAAAGTGGTACCAACACTTCACTCGACCTTGGTTCTATCCCTCTGGTGATGCAGCCTAGGACCGCGGCTGGCTTTTTTTGCCAGCTGCAGCACGCCAAAAAATGCAATGCAATCCAAACTCAGATTTAAACTCGGCTTTGAACTCAAGTCAAATATCTAGCAGCTGCTGACGTTCCGAATCATGCTTGGTTTTCACCTTAGTTAAACCCAGCTCATTTCTAATGGGGTAAAATCTCTTGCAAGTCTGAAAACTTGGCAATACCCCCAGGGGGGACACGCCAATCCCGAAAGAACTCGCCAAGTCGGTTGACTCCCTCAAGTTGGGAGAAATCTCGAATTAAAACACCGTTTCCCCTTGCTTTTCCCCCGCAGCCATTGTCCAGAGCACAAGTGGGCTTCGGCAACGGAGGTCGTGGAGAAAAAATCTATTTTCTACCCGCTGAGCGAGCAAGACCAACCTGCAGAAGAGGACGCCGGCCCTTCCCAAAGCCGTCCTCCCTCGCCACCTGCAGATGAAGGAACGTCAGTCAGGACGGCATCCGTTGCAGCACCTCTCAGCACCCGCGGACTGAGCAGCAGCGAGCAGGTGGGAGCCCTGGACCTTCAGGTGCGCCCCAGGTTGGGCTGGGAGATCCCTCAGATAACCTTGGGGAAAACAGATGAAGGTGTAGAGTCCGGCCAAGGTCGGGATGAAGCCCCGAGCTTCGGCGAGGCTGTGGCAGAGGGGGAAGAGGCCCGGAGAGAAGGGGGCGAGGCGGATCCTGTGAAGACCCTCCCAGAAGATCAAGGCCAGGACCCTCCTGGCCGGGGGGAGGACTCAGTCGGAGACTTGACCCAGACCTCCCCTTCCAGTTGCAAGGTAAAGTCCATGTCGGGCCACGTCGGAAAATGGAACAAGAACCTGACGTCCAGAACGCGAGGCGTTTTGTGCCCTGATGGACCTCCGCCAGTAGCCCCAGGTGAATCAGACAGCTTTCCTTCCAGCTAGGACAGTGGTGGCGAACCTAGGGCACGGGTGCCAGAGGCGGCACTCAGAGCCCTCTCTGTGGGCACGCGCGCCGTCGCCCCAGTCCTAGGCCTTCAGCTGGGTTTTATAAAACCTTTTCGCTTTAGGCCTCCGCCACCATGTGCAAAAAAAAAAAAGGTTCAATCAATCAGTCAATTTCAACTTCTCGCAGGGAAAAAAAAGATCTTGCAAAGTTGGAATTGATTGATTGAACTTTTTAATCCCACCCAGTCTGCCGTTACCACCACAGCCACGCCCACCCAATGGACCACACCCACCCAATTGGCCACACCCAGACACTGGACACACCCACCTGGCAGCCGATGATGCATAAATGGGTTTTGGGTTGCAGTTTGGGCCCTCGGTTTCTAAAAGGTTCGCCATCACTGAGCTAGGAGAAGACCTGCTGTCCACCACATCCTCATCCCGCGCAGCTCCTCTCCACATTTGAGAAATAAGACATGCATTCCTTCCCTCCAAGCTTCCCGATGCCCACAGTGCCCTAGAGTAATGCAGTGCGGCATTCTGGGAAAATGAAGAGGGGCAGCTTCCAGGAAGGAAGCCTCAACAAGGACGGGATCCTCTGAGCACTGTTGACAATTGTAACCCCTGAAGTGGGCCTGTCTGAGCCTCCAGATGTTGGCAAACTACAGCTCCCAGCATCCCTATTTTTACTGTTGGTTTATGAGGGGCTGCTGGGAAGGGTAGTTCACCTCCTGCTCATCCCCATATAGGACCTAATAACGTTCAATGCATTCCTCTTTTGCTCTCATGTCCAACCACAGGAAAACCCAGCTGGTAGGAAAAATACAAACAAACCCTGGTTTCTCCCTGGCTACTTTGTTTTTAGCCTGGCGACACCTGCATTTTCCCCCTGAATAGTGCACAGATTGTCTCCCTTAACAAACGTCTCGGTTAACAACGGAAACGTCGGGCTCAATTGCCGTCGTAAGTCAAGGACTACCGCATTTCGAAGAGATTTGATTCGGCAGCCCAGCCAAAGAGAGAGGAGTGCCCCCTTCTCTCTGCCAAGCATGTTTTTTTTATTTTTTTATTTTTTTTAAAGTTTTTTATTAATAAAACAATTAAAACAAAAAAAGGACATGACATGACGTTCCAGTATACATAATCCTAATAATTCGTTCCTTATCATATTTAAAGTTCTATATATACATCTCTCTATATAAATATATACATATATTCCCCTATATAATACAATCTCAAGCTTATTTCTCTACATATTAACATATAATTTTATATACCACAAACTTAAACTTTAACTCAAAACCCGAACAGTTCTTCTTGACTCATACCAGCAGTAAAATTTGTCCCAGATTCCACCAAGCATGTTGTCAAAGTAAAATCATCCTGGCAAATCTCATAAAAAGAAAAAATTAGGGACGGGGAAAGACCTATAAAACCTTGGTTTCCTCAGCAGGCAATTTGGCTGGAGGCAAAACTCAGTCTCATCACTAGAGCAAATTAAGTGGAACAGGGGAAGGTAAAATACCTAAATATTTGTACGCTATAAAAATATGAGCTAGAGCAGGGATTCCCCAACCCCCCGGTCTGTAGACCGGCACCGGGCTGTGCCACGCCAGAAACCGGTCCACACAAACAAGCGAAGCCTCATCCGTGGGATGCAGGCAGCACGCGAAACCACATCCTCACCGGTCCACGGAAAAACCTCTCTCCATGGAATCGGTCCCTGGTGCCCAAAGGTTTGGGGGCTGCTGAGCTAGAGGTAGGGGAATATCCTGTGATTTTGTTGTGCTGACAGAGTAGCGTTGCCAATTGTTAATTGTCCTACTGCAGCCCTGACAATAAAAGGAATTTGAGATGGCAAAAGCAGTCTATAGGCATGGAGCAGAGCTGATGTTTGAATAAAGATATCTGATCGTATCTGGCAACTAATGGATATCTGGAGTAGCATAATATCAGCCCCAATTTTCTCCTTATTTCTGATCAGGTCTGCTCTGCAGCCTTCCCTGGAGACAGGGCCCTGAAATTTGCAAAAGCAGAGCCTGAAATGTCAGCGCCATTTTTCTCCTTTTGGAAAACAAGAGGGTGCAGGCAGTCCTCAACTTACGACCACAACTGAGCCCAAAATTCTGTTGCTAAGTGAGACTGAAGTGAATGCTGTCCGATTTTACGACCTTTCTTGTCACAGCTGTTAAGGGAAATCACTGCAGTTGTTTTAAGTTAGTGACAAAGTTGTTAACCGAATCGGGTTTCCCCGTTGACTTTGCTTGTCCGAAGGTCGCAAAAGGGGATCACAGGACCTCCCAGAGACACTGCAGTCGTCATAAATATGAATTTTGGAATTTTAATCACGTGACCCTGGGGCTACTGCAGTGGACGTAAGTGTGAAAAACGGCCATAAGTCACTTTTTTTCCAGTGCTGTTGCAACTTTGAACAGTCACTAAACAAGCTGTTGTAAGTCCAGGAGTCCCTGCAAAATAAATGCAACTCACCTTTTTTTTTCGCACTGTCACAAACTCCATAAGCCACCATCCTCTGAAAACAATCCATGAAAAGAACGAAATTCTCACCCGTGATCCTCCCAAGTCTCTTTGCCTCTTCTCCTGGGACCCTCGGCTGCTAAAATATTATTTTGAAAAATAAAATAAACCAAACTTTTTTCCGGAAGGAGCCGATTATCCTTAAAAACCATCCCGCGATGCCCTTGGGAGAGCCATTAAAAGGTTAAATGCTCATCTTTACATCCTGCAATAGTTAAGTGTCTTCGCCATTGGTATCTTCCGTCATCAAATCCACTTTTTCACCAGCCTCTCACCAAATATGCACTTCTCTCTTTTCCTAGAAGTCGGAGAGTTGCTAGATTTTTCCCGTTGGCCGAGCAGAGGGGCAGAAGAATTAGTGAACATTTTAGTCTTCTCAAATGGGAAAAAAATCCAGCTTTCCCAAACCTCGGATAGGCTAAAACCACGCACTGAAATAATCCAAAGAAGCAATATTAGATTAAATAAGATTTAGGGGCATGCTTATGCATTCAAACACCCACAGAGGTTGTAGCAGATTTCTCAAAAGCTCTTTGGAGACGCTTAGCTGCAAAACAGACTCCATCAGTTCCACAAACAATCTCTTCCTTATATTTTATTCTTCTTGACATTCAAGTCCAGAGAGGAAAAGAACAACTCCAGAATAATAATAAAAAAAATTTGTTCATTCCACAACACCCTCACACTTCTGCCCTGATGTCAGAATTCAATCTTGAAACTGCAGCATTTTATTTTTTTTTTAAATCCAATCTCTGTCCACCCTTTTTTTTTTCTGAAAAGCCTCCGTCCTTCAAAGGAACTCTTCGGTCAAAGCCCCGGCTGAGCTGCGTACGAGTCACGACTTCGAACGGGAACGCCGACACTCCTCCGTCAGAAGAAAGAAAGAGACAGTGAGCCAAATCCACATCGAAAGCGTTGGGTGGGCATCTCAAAAAGAGTTGAATCGGTGCTCTCACGAGTCTTGCAGAATTGAAAGACACAGAAATTAGACAACGTAAAACTTTCAACTTTGCAAATTCAGGATCCGGAGATCTTTTTCCTGCTTCCACAAAAAGTCTATTCACCTCGTACGTTCTGGGTATTGAAGTCTGCCCAGCCTGTGCTTTACCCGTTGAGTTACAGCCTCTTGCTCTGTAGCTGTTGGCCAACTGACCGGGGTGTCAAAGCATGACATCACAACCTCTCCATTGTGACCCGGGCGCAAGTCAGCTTCCAGAAGTATGGCTTCAGGGCAGGAAGTAGTTTCCACACCGAATTGCTGGGAGCCCAGGGTCTGCAGGAAGAAATTCCTTAGCTTCCCTCCCCGGTTGACTCTCCGAAGACCTCTGTGCTTCTCAGGTGCCCCTCTCTCAACTAGGCAGGAAAGAGGTGGTGGGCACACCGGGATGGTGTGCAAAAAAGGGAAAGAGTTGAAAACGGATGAGGGAGTTAGAGAAAGTCAAGGAGGCAACTGTTAACCCTCGGAGGGATGTCCATCGTAAGATTGGCTGGGGCGTGACAATCAACACGTGCCCGTTGTCCCAAGGGACAACTGGGTAGCAACTGAGTGTGGCTAAAGACCCCCATCTCAGGACGATTGTATAAAGTCCATTGGGAGGGCAGATACAGAATCCCACTTAAGCCACTTAAAGTTGGCGTGACAAACTCCCAAGAAACACCGCCTTTTAGCTAATTTCGCTCCGACTGGTGAAGTTACTAAGATGAGTAACGAAGTTGGGTCCAGTTGCCGTGGTTCAACCGTTAGACACCTTTGGCCCGGATGACGGGAGCCTTCCTTGACAGCTTGCATTTTCTCCTTTGCGCCTGCCAATCACCCCACCGGCGTGACCTAAAATTCTAACTCTCCACCCCACCCCACCCCGGTCTCAGTGTCTGTCCTTGGTGCCTTCTCCGCATGGAGAAGGCGGACCTTGCAGGGTTGATTTTAGAGTCCAGTTCCAGAGTCCCTCCACCGCAGATGCCGTGGTGGAGCTGGTTCCTCTGGACTGCAACCGGGAGGGAAAACCCAGATTAAAATCTGGGCGTTTGCTGACCGAGGCTGGTCTGGCTTTCAGGATGGATGAGCGAAAGACCGCTGGATGGCAATGAAAGAGCAGCTGCCCTCCGTTTAGGCTTCCGTTGGTTCCCATACTACAACGAAGCAGGTGAGGCCCATCGGGCGACAAAGCTGCCCAAAAGACGGCCGGGACAGAGTCATCCAAAGGTCCAAAGCAACCCAACTCATCCACAAGGAGGTGAGCCTGACTTCCTTTTTTCAGCCAAGCGGAATTGGGCACGTGGCCTAAAAGGAGCGGAATGACTGCACATTAACCCAGTCATATGAGCGGATAACATGAGCGTGTTTTTTGGTAGATTCAGAAAAGGGAACTGGATAAGCTGGAGTGAATCCACAGATCGAAAGAGACCACAGGTAGTCCTCGCCTTACAACGCTTTGTTTAGACCAGGGGTCTCCAAACCCTCCCCCCCCATTTGAAACTGGGCCGCAGAAGTGGTGGGCGCGTGCTCACGAAGCTCCGTTCATGCGAGGGGCTGGCGCACAGGCCCGCCGCTTGTGCGAATGCAGCTGTGTGCGCGTAGAACCATCCCTCCTTCCTCCTCTGCCGGTCCACCGTTGGAAGTTACAACAGCGCTGAAAAAGCCGACTCGTGACCCCTTTTCACACTTAACGACCGTTGCAGGAACTCCGTTGTGACATTAATCAAAATTCTTGGCCACTGACTCCTATTTATGACGGTGGCCGTGTCCCGGCGTTCACGCGATCCCCTTTTGCGACCAAGTCACTGAGGGGAATGCAGATTCGCTTAACAACCGGGTTACTAACTTAACAACTGCAGTGATTGACTTAACAACCGTGGCGAGGAAAGTTGTAAAACAGGGCAAAAAAAAACCTCACTTAACACCTGTCCCACTTACCAACAAACTTTGGGCAAAATTGTAGTCATAGATTGAGGGCTACCTGGAGCTAGTTTCCTTCTCTTCATTGTTTCCAGCTTTCCCCCCAACCAGTAAGATTTTTTGGGGTGCCACTGTGTAAAAGCTAGAGAAATCTAGCAGCTCAAGGAAAAGAGGAATTCCTTGAAAAGCTAGATTTCAAAGGGCAGAGAATGTTTCATCTTCCGACCAGGAATCTGTGCCCTCCAAACAAAAACCCCAGAGAACTAAGCCATAATTGCACTTGGCGTATTGCTGTGTGGGTATTATAAAGACAGCTGGGAAAACCATCCAGAATCACGGGAATTCGAATGCTGTAAATAACAGGCTTGGAATTACCACCTACAAATTGGAACGTATAACAACCGCCTCAAAGCTGCTGCTTTGTTTCGTTAGCATTTTTTGTAAATATCCGGGAGGGGAAAGACGCGGCCCAAAAAATAAAAAAATAAAAAAAGGAAGCTTTTTGCTGGCTTAAAAAGTACAGATCCCAGGGGAAATTGGTGGCAAATTTAGACCAGCCAAAAGAAGATTTTTGGACTTCAATCCCAGCATGCTGACTAGGGAATTCTGGGAGTTGAAGTTCGCGCACCTTAAATTTGCCAAGTTTGAAAAAAAAAACACAGCACTAGCGGAAGTGGCTGGTCCACCAGATACAATACTGAACTACAATACCCAGCAGCCTCCACCGGTATGAGCACTGGGAGGGTTCAGCAGTGTCTGGAACCGGGGGTCCCCCAACCCCACTCCGCTCGCAGACTGTTTTCAAAGCTCTTTGAGCCAAAGCCGGTTTCAAGTTCCCAGACCATAAGAAACTGAGGGTGGGAAAGGGGCTTATCGTTGCCAACCAGGACCTCAAATTCGCCCTTTTTTCATTTTTTTCCCCAGCTTGGCCCAATGAGTCACGTCTCTCTTTTTTCTATCCCGGCATTTGGATCTGAATTTGCCCCTTTGCCTAGCTATCAATCCATGCTGGTTGAATGCCAAGCCGGACCCGTTTCTCTGCTTTGTTGGGGCTGGTGAATTGCCTCTTCCGCTTTTCTCCTTCAGAGAGAAAAGGGTTGGGCTAGAGGACCTCTCTGGACCTCCCGGTTGTAGGATTCTGTGATTGGTTTTCTTCTTTCTGACTTGATGTACGAGAGACCGTGCACACACCCCTGGCAGGCCCTAACCTTCTTCTCTTCCACAGATCCCAAGGGCGTAGAAAACAGGAGGCAGAAATACCGCGCTCTTTTTCCAAGCCAGGCACTGAAGCAGTGGAAGACATACAAGCAAAAGGGTAGGAATTGGATGCATCCCATCATCCCCTTCTGATACAGAAGGAGAGGCCAAAATCTCTCCAGTCCAGCTCTAGTGTAGGTTTTTTTTTGGGGGGGGAAGAGCCCCCCCCCCTGCTTAGATTTCAAGGAGCCTTAGTGGGCTGCTGGCGCCACTTAATATTTGGGGAAAAGGTGGGCTGTGTTGATGTAATGGTATGTGAGAATGACCTTGGGAAGCCGGGGCCTAGGGAACGGTCAGATAAGAGACAGCAGAGCCCTCAGCTGCGTAGTGGGTGGTGCAAGAGTAGTTGTGCCCTCCAGTGTATACCTGCCAGCTGTATCTCCCTCCCAAATGACACCCTTGATTCATTAAGCCTTGCGTCTCCCACACTCTCAATATTGCATCTGGTTTTGGCCACCGCGATCTTAAAAACATGCGAAGAAGACTCTGGAAAGAGGGCAGAGCAGAGCAGCAAAAGATGATGAGGGGGCTGGAGGCCAAAACCTATGAAGGTTGCCTACTCCTGGCCTAGCTGGACCCAAGAGGGCTCACCCGCCCTCCTTCTCGTTCCAGGGCTTCCCAAAATAGCCGAAGGGAGATTCACCTATGAATTCAGATCAAAGAAGCCCAGAGCCATTCTGAAGGCAGCGCTCCGAATGAGTCACCTGGACGAGAGGAGAAACGAAGAAGCCCCGGCATCCGGGCCGTTCTTTTACATCGGCGGAGCGAATGGGGTTGAGACGTAAGCAGAAAGCCCTCGCCCGCCCGCCCCCCCCAACCCTTGAGCGAGGAAGCCTGCCTCAGGGAGGGGTTGTGCTAGATGGCCTTTGCGGAGCCCTCTCAGCTGCGGGACCCAGAACGTAGGCAGCAAAAGGTGGCCCTCGGCTTAACAGCCTAGCGACCGAAGTTTACAACGGCAGGCAAAAAAAAGGGACCGATGGGTTTTCGCGCCGGTCATCCTTGTGCTGAAGCTCGATCGAGTTTTAGATCACGCGGTCTAAATCTGGGCGCTCGGCGGCTGGCGTGTATTTATGAGAGTGGCGCTTTGCGATCTTCCCAGCCGGCTTCCGACAAGCGAAGGCAGTGGGAGAAACCGGATTCGTTTAATGACTGCAGCGATTCGCTTAACAACTTTGGGGGGAAAAAAGAGGAGGGGGCGCAACTCAATGAACAACTGTCTTGCTTATATAGAACTACCTCTATTTCTAGAGCAGGGGTCCTCAAACTCGGCCACTTGAAGACTTGTGGACTTGTGGACTTCATGGCTGGCTGTGGACTTCAACTCCCACACTTCTGCAAAAAAATACCATCAAAAGTGGCAGAGAGAGAGAGAGAGACAGAGAGAGAGAGAGAGACAGAGAGAGAGAGAGAGAGAGAGAAAAAGAGAGAGAGAGAGAGAGAGAGAGAGAGAGAGAGAGAGAGAGGAATCCTGGGAATTGAAGTCCACAAGCCTTCAAATGGCCGAGTTTGAGGACCCCTGCTCTAGAGGGTTATTGGCCACCTTGTACCAAGGCCATCTTCTTCCTCTCTCGCAGCCTGAGTAATTACTGCAAAAGCAAAGGGTGGCAACGGATTTATGACAACCGGAGGGAAGACTACGTCTTGAAATGGTGCGAGACCAAGTTTCGGGACACCTATTGCAACTTCCGAGAAGGTATGGGCCAGCTTTCCAAGGCCAAGACAAGCTGGAAGGAACAAGGGCGGGTTCAGAATTTCTGGAGGTCAAGGAGCAGAGGGGCGGACAGAAAAAAAATATATCTGTAGCTCAGAGTTGAACTGGGGGGTCCTTGGTGCTCTCTGAGCTTGGTGGTTTTGTTGCAGACATTTAATTAGCAAGCTAGGTGACATCATCAGTGCTAGAAGGCAGTGGGGTGGAGGAGGAGGAGGAGGAGGAGGAGGAGGAGGAGGAGGAGGAAGAAGAAGAAGAAGAAGAGGAAGAGGAGGAGGAGGAGGAGGAGGAGGAGGAAGAAGAAGAAGAAGAAGAAGAAGAAGAAGAAGAAGAAGAAGAAGAAGAAGAAGAAGAAGAAGAAGAAGAAGAAGAAGAAGAAGAAGAAGAAGAAGAAGAAGAAGAAGAAGAAGAAGAAGAAGAAGAAGAAGAAGAAGAAGAAGAAGTAGTAGTAGTAGTGGAGGAGGAGGAGGAGGAGATCCTTGGTGCTCTCTGAGCTTGCTTATTTTCTTGCAGACATTTAATTACCAAACTAGGTAACATCATCAGTGCTAGAAGGCAGTGGGGTGGTGGTGGAGGAGGAGGAGGAGATCCTTGGTGCCCTCTGAGCTTGGTTGTTTTCTTGCAGATGTTTCACGACCCAACTATGTAACATCATCAGTATTAGAAGGGAGTGGGATTTTCAGGGAGGAGGAGGATTGTGGGGTCCTTGGCCCTCTCTGAGCTTTGTTTTTTTTCTTGCAGACGTTTCATTGCCCAACTAGGTAACATCATCAGTGCTAGAAGGCAGTGGAGGGGGAGGACTGTGGGCTCCTTGGTGCTCTCTGAGCTTGGCGGCTTTCTTGCAGGCGTTCCATTACCCATCTAGGGAACATCTTCATTTCAGATCACATCCCTCCATCGTAACTTGGAGCGGTCATTAAGCGACCGGTCATTAAGCAGGGCTGCCCGTTAAGGCCTTCTCCATCTCCTCTGCTGCCTGAGCCCCTGTTTTTTTTTTTCTGCCCATTCAGGAGAGCAGCTTCTCTACCAGATCCCAAACAACAAGATCCTGACGACAAAGATCGGCCTGTTGATGAACCTCAGGGAATATGATCGGGTGATGAAGAAAATTGGCCAGGCAGCCAGGTAGGCCCCTCAGAGGTAACAGGCTACAGTTGATAATCCTCCTGGATGAAGGGGGGAGAAGCAATTTGACATTATCTTTGAACTGCCAAGGATGCCACCGTCCATGAAGTTCAAAGAGAAAAGTTTGAAGTTCTAGGCTTATTTCCCTAATGTCTGATCGCCGTTGATGTATTTGCCCAGTTTGCTATTGACAGTTGCATAAAATAACTTACCGTCGAAACTCAATAATCCACAGGATGAGAATAAACAAGCTTGCTAATGAAGGGTGAAACATTGTATTGAAATTATGTCCAGTGATGTCCAAAACATTATATCGAAATTATGTCCACCAGCAACGGATGGAAGCTAATCCAGGAGAGGAGCAACCTAGAACTAAGGAGAAATTTCCTGGCAGTGAGAACAATGAATCAGTGGAAGGGTTTTTGCCTCCAGAAGTTGTGGGTGCTCCACCACTGGAGGCTTTTAAGAAGAGACTGGACAGCCATTTAACCAGAATGCTATAGGGTCGCCTGCTTGAGCGAGGGAGGGGGTGGACTAGAGGACCTCCAAGGTCCCCTCCAGCTCTGTAATTCTGTTTTTATCAACACTGTGATTCAAAAGGCAAACGACGAATTTCTTCCCTTTGAAATCTGTGGCTCAGCCACTTTGGGGCCAGCTGGGCTGAGATTACACGCTGTTCTCAGCAGAAAGCACAGTGCTGTCTCTAGCAAGCAGAAATTATATTGAGAAAGGATGCTAGTCCATATGAAGGAGTCATGGGTATCTTTTAATCCCTAGTGTGCGTGGGAGAAATGATGGCTGGCCTGTAAATTCATTAAAACAAGTCTGTGTGAGCTTATTATTATTATTTAAAAAATTCTCCCCTTTCCCTTTCTTGCAGATTGCTAAAAATGGAAGATTTTTTCCCGGAGACGTTTCGTCTGGACACCAAAGACGAGAGAGAAGTCTTCTTTGAAATGTACAGAGGTGAGCCCCAACGCCATTTATTCTGTCTCCCTTTTCAAGATAATGAATCTATTTCGAACAGTGGGTTCTGTCAAGAAAGACAGGAGCAGGTTGCGATCTCGGTATTCAAATGTGGCACGGAGGGACGGGCCCGGTCAAGCGAACGACGTCACCTGCGTTGTGACGTCATTGGCTTGAACGATGTCGCGACTCCTGTGATGTCCCAGGCGTATGTCACGTGTGGAACGGCCCAGCTGGCCCTGCTCTGCTCCCCAACGTCTCTCGTTACAAGAAGATGAAATCACGGGTGGAAAGAATGCACAGGTAGCCTTCGACATACAGCATTTTGTTGTCAACGCTGCTAACATCGGATGTTCTTGCTTTGACAACTTATGGAGATGCAGCCATTTTCCTTCTTATGTTTTACTCTTAGAATTAGAGTTAGAATTAGATTATACTGGAGGGGGGAGGAGGAGGAATGTGCATGGGAGTTTAATTAGACATAACAATACTAATCCTAGTGTGAGAACCAAGGTTATTGAAATAAGAGATGATAAGAAATAGCGGGTTGGAGAACTGGAGGGGAAAGCCTGCATTTCAAACTAATTGGAGAATGTGATTTATGACTGTTAATTGGAGGAGGGAATTGTGCTTTGATACTATGTGCTCAGGGGAGAGGAATTCATATTTTGGCTTGGCCTATGTACGTGCCGATGCTATGCTACTCGAATAAAGATTCTTTAAGGTAAACAATGCCTCGAAGCTCTTTGAAGAGTTTCATCTGTCGGAACCATAAGCAAGTGGACTTGTTGATAGGAATTACGTAAGATGTAATCCCTGGGAAAACTATTGCTTAAGTCTATGAACCGCTGTGGGAACCTCAGAGTGAGTTTTGGTCCGGCGTAACCCCGCAGTGTATTCAATAAACGTTTTAAGATTTTCGGAAACGGGATGAACCTGGAGCTTCCTTTGGATTCTGGAGCTGGATGTTGACCCTTGGGCTGTAAACCTGGGGCTAGCAGCTGAAGCCTCTTTCTCCCTCCCTCTCTGCAGAACCTCAGATTTGGATCTGCAAGCCCACCAGCTCCAACCAGGGCCGAGGGATTTTTCTCCTGAAAAGCCAAGCGGAGATCCGAAGCCTGCAAGCCAAACTCCAAGGCATGGAGGACGAGCCCGGCTATAGGAAGCTGCCTTACAAACTGCCTCAGGCACGAATCGTCCAAAGGTAGAGAATCTGCCACGCAGCCGCCCGGCTATCCAGCTCCCGGCTGGTGAGCGACCTCGGATGCTCTTGGACTTGAGCTAAAGCCCAAAGCGGGGATTCAGACAGAGACACGACGGGGCCCTCTTCCTGGGCAGCCTAGCCTATATACCATTTCAGATAGATGGTTGTCCGGTCTCTTCTTAAAAGCCTCCGGTGATGGAGCACCCACAACCTCTGAAATGTTTAATTTGTAGAACCGCCGATCTCACCCCAGGGGACTCTGGCTGTCGTTGTTGTTGTTGTTGTTGTTGTTGTTGTTGTTATTATTATTATTATTATTATTATTATTATTATTATTATTAAAATTATTTGTTGTGGGGGTTTTGTGCATTTTGATGTCACCGATGGGGCCGTGGGATTAGCCTTTGGACAAACGGGGAGAGAAAAGCAAAAAAGGCAGGACAAGAAGCAACAGATGGAAACTAATCAAGGAGAGAAGCAACTTAGAACTAAGGAGAAATTTCCTGACAGTTAGAACAATTAACCAGTGGAACAACCTGCCTCCAGAAGCGGTGAATGCGCCAACACTGGAAGTTTTTAAGAAGAGACTGGACAGGCATTTGTCTGACATGGTATAGGGTTTCCTGCCTGAGCAGGGGGTTGGACCTGATGACCTCCAAGGTCCCTTCCAACTTTATTATTATGATTATTATGATTATTATGATTATTATGATTATTATGATTATTAAGAAAGAGGGAGATTACTCGATCGTTCCTATCTGGGAAGTTTAGGAGGGCTTCCAAGCGGCCGACGGGCCGCGTTGTGCGAATTGAAGCGGCAGGAACAGCTGTCTCGAACCCTTTTGGATTCAGGAGCTATTTTGGATTCGAGAAAAAGCTTTTTTATGGTTATTTATAGCCTTCAGAAAGGATATTCGGGGTTGCATGGGAGAAAGGGAGGGAAAAAACACACACACACACAAATCCTTTGGTGTCGCTGCTGTGGAAAAATACAAATTGCACCCTGTGGGAAAGCAGCACGGGCACCCAGACAGACAGACAGAGTAGAGGCAGAGATAAGGGTAGAAATAGATAGATAGATAGATGATAGATAGATAGATAGATAGATAGATAGATAGATAGATAGATAGATAGATAGATAGATAGATAGATAGATAGATAGATAGATAGATAGATATAAATAGAGATATAGAGATAGATAGATAGATAGATAGATAGATAGATAGATAGATAGATAGATAGATAGATAGATAGATAGATAGATAGATATAAATATATATATATATATATATATATATATATATAGATAGATAGATAGATAGATAGATAGATAGATAGATAGATAGATAGATAGATAGATAGATAGATAGATAGATAGATAGATAGATAGGTGCGTGCGTGCGTGCGTGCGTGCGTGCGTGCGTGCGTGCGTGGGTGGGTGGATGTGAGAGAGAGAGAGAGAGAGAGAGAGAGATCCAGCAGCAAGAACAGCCTGATGGGAGGTGTAGTTCCGCATGATCAAGGGAGCTAAGTGCCCAGTGTCTTAGTTTTCATCCAGCTCACCTGCCTTTCCTTCACCCCAGGTACATCGACCGCCCTCTGCTGCTGGAGGGGAAGAAATTTGACGTCCGCTCTTACCTGCTCATCGCCTGCACCGTGCCCTACATGGTCTTCTTCGGCCACGGCTACGTCCGCCTCACCTGCCTCAACTACGACCCCAAGTCCGACGATCTCACGTCTCATTTGACCAACCAGGTGCTGAAAAAAAAGGGACGTCAATGGCCAACCCAGCCATCTGGAGCAGGCCTGCTTTCCTTTGGCTCTGCCCACTAGGCATTGTCTCTGGGCACCTGGCGCAGTGGCCGAGCTATTGCCTTTGTGTTAGCCCGATTCAAGACGGGTTGTTCGGCTTTGTGCGAAAGACAGCCACTGGCACCAGGTGCTCCGCAGAGAATGCTGGCTGGAAAAAAAAAGCTGTCAACGTTAGGCCGGGGTTTTATTTTCTCTCTCTTTTTTGTTTCCAAGAGACCAAGTTATCTCCTTGATTCCAGCAGTGGCTGACAAATTTGGCATTCTACCCCCCTATCCCATTTTTTCCTTCCCTGCAGTTGGATCCTGCTTCTCTTTTCTGAGGCTGAATGCTTGGCCCAGAGAAGTGGAAATGGATTTGGAAAGCAAAATCGTTGGGACTTTTTTTTTTTTAAGCTTAGCAAAGAAGCCTAAGCGAAAGGAAAAAAACAACAACTCAATTTGGCCTCATTTAACTCAAGTTAAATAGTTAATAAGATTAAAGGCAGCTAGTTGAAGAATTGTCTCTCTTTAGAGATTTCTTTCTCTCTGTCTCAATCTCTCTCCGTGTCTCTGTCTCTCTCTCTCTCTCTTTTGCAAGAGCTGAGATTTTAAATCTATCTATCTATCTATGTATCATCATCATCATCATCATCATCACTTCTATCATCTATTTAATCTATCATCTCTCTCTCTCTTTTGCAAGAGCTGAGATTTTAAATCTATCTATCTATCTATCATCATCACTATCATCATCATCACTTCTATCATCTATTTAATCTCTCTCTCTCTCTCTCTCTTTTGCAAGAGCTGAGATTTTAAATCTATCTATCTATCTATCTATCTATCTATCTATCTATCTATCTATCTATCATCATCACTTCTATCATCTGTTTAATCTATCTATCTCTCTATCATCTCTCTCTCTCTCTTTTGCAAGAGCTGAGATTTTAAATCTATCTATCCATCTATCTATCTGTCATCACCATCATCATCATCATCACTTCTATCATCTATTTAATCTCTCTCTCTCTCTCTCTCTCTCTCTCTCTCTCTCTCTCTCTCTCTCTCTCTCTCTCCCCTCTCTCTCTCTCTCTCTCTCTCTCTCTCTTGCAAGAGCTGAGGTTTTAAATCATCTTCCCCAGCTCATCATTCCTTGATTTCTAGCCTGCCTGTTGGCCAAACTCTCCCCAGGAAGCCTCAGAAAAAACCCCCACAGCGTTTGAAATCGTTTTATCAAATGTCTAGGCGGAGACCCAAAGAAAACACACTCCCCTTTCTTGCTGTGTTGCAGTTCCTCAGCAAAATATGGGGAAAGGAAAATACATTTTTTTTAAGCCAGCGAGCGAAGCCACTCTTATGGCATAGACAACCGAATGGAGAGCAGAAAAGGGGGAAAGAACGGAGTCTGTTTAGGCTTGGGGCTCGACCCGGGCAGCCCACCTAAGGTCATCTATCCAAGCCACGTTGTCATACTGCCCGGTCTTCTGGAGAATGCTTTTTTTTTTTCAGTACGTGCAAAAGAAGAGTCCCATCTACACCCACGTCAAGGAGGAGACGGTGTGGCTGATGGACCGCTTCAACAACTACGTCAACGAGAAGTTCAGGCAGGCCAAAGGTCTCCCCAGAGACTGGGTCCTTAACAGCTTTACCGTAAGTTTTCTGTTCATCAAATCCACACTTAACTTTTTTCCCCCGGGCCTAAGAATCTGAGAATCTCATACTTGAAAAATAGACCACCAGAAAAGGCCAGGCTTGTAAAACAGACTGTAAAGGCAAAAGAAATAAAATAAAAAATAACCTAGGAAAAAGAACCAGAAAACCACTCCCAGCTTTTCCCTGTGAAAATGGGTATAACTTTAAAATTTACAAAATGAACCAGGATTATTTTGGACTGTAGGAAATCTGTATTTCATCCCCTTCTATGAACATTTTTCCAGGGCTGGGTGGGGGTGGGTGGCTGGGAAATCAACGGAACAGACACTTTTTAGAGACATCTTTTCCCAACCTGACAACTGGAAGAGGTGTGGACTTCATGCTGACTGGGGGATTCTGGGAGTTGAAGTCCCTCACATCCTAAAGTGGCCAAGTTGGAAAGACGCTGCTCTATATCTTGCGGTTTTGGGGGGGGGGGTTCCCCACCCCTTACCTTTAGCAATTTATTCGCCGCAAAAGAAGCCTTGGATAACATATTTTCTTCGAAAAGGAGGCTCTGATTTTGGGGACCACCCCCTCCAATATTTGTCTTCCGTGCTTTACAGAAGAGAATGAAAGAAATCATGTTGCAGTGTTTTCTCTCGGTCAAATCCAAGCTGGAATGCAAACTGGGCTTCTTTGATCTCATCGGCTGCGACTTTTTGATCGATGAAGATTTTAAGGTACCTCTCTGCGATCTCCCTCCCCTCCCTGACAATTTCCCCACACCTTCAGATACACAAAACTGAATCGTATTAGCCAGATTCTGTCTCCCCTGTGGCTAATTAATCGCTTTGCAAACTCCCCAAGGAGTCAATCCCCCTCTTGTCCCATCCCCCTTTTTCCCCCCCCTGCAAGATCTGTGCGTAATCCTAGATCTTGTTATTCTGGATTAATTGCCACCCGTGATAAAGCGCCGTTTAATTTTAGCCGAGCTGCGAACTCATTACACTTTGTGGGTAATGAGGGTGCCTGCTTGCGTTGCATCCCACCCAGCCTGGTTGTGGCTTTTGTGTGGTGTTGCAAATCCAGGAAAACACGTCCATTCTGTGATCAGCTTAAGTTGGTCCCGTAGGGACATTTGGGGGATGAAGGACTGGCGTTTCCCAAAGGCGCCACCTGTTTCTCCAGTGATCATAATCTCACTGATTTTCCCTCCCGCAAACTTTGCAGAAACTGGGATGAAACAAACTTTGCAGAAACTGAGATGGAATTCCAGCGTCACCCAGTGGCAAAACACAAAATAGATTTTCAGGGAAGAGTTTTGGAAATCGTTGCAAGAACCTTATCCAATAAATCAGCAAATCACATCAGTTTGGGGCTTAAATCCTAGCTAGGAAGCAACAGACAAAAAGTCTCTGTCTGTTTCTCTGTCTCTGTCTTTCTCTCTCTCTTTCTCTTTCTCTGTCTCTCTCTTTCTCTCTCTCTCTCTCTCTCTCTGTCTGTCTGTCTGTCTGTCTCTCTCTCTCTCTCTCTCTCTCTCTCTGTCTCTCTTTTTCTCTCTCTCTCTCTCTGTCTCTCTGTCTCTCTCTCTCTCTGTCTCTCTCTCTCTTTCTCTGCCACTTTTGATGGTATTTTTTTTGCAGAAGTGTGGCAAAAAGCTGGAAGATTTGAAGTGGCTGTGAAGATACAATTTCCTTATTTTTAAGAAACTAGGAAAATTGAATTGCATAGGACTGAGTAGTCTCTGAGAGTCAGCATAGCTACAGTACAGCTTTGTTATTAGATACTAGAATAAAACATGAACTTGTGGCTCAAGGTGTCTTGCGAAGCCAGCCAGAGGCGATCGCTCAGCAATTGTAGCTATGCAACCCCCCCCCCCCAAAATGGACATAAATTGGACAAGAAGGGGAAAACCATACAATCACAACTGTTGGTTCAAAAATATGTTGTTTTTTAAACTCAGTCTGGACTTTTTTTTTCCCTTTTAGAATTACTTCTCTGTGCACGTGTGATATTTAATCTGGTCTTGAAAAAAAATTGGGGGGCCAAAAAGAACAAAGCCAAAGAAACCATTTCTGGGCTCATGCTTCAAAGGGATTTAGGAGGGATGTTTTGGAAGTTTCGATAAGCCCTCACAAAAAGGAGGGAAGGAAATACTGTAGGCCTCACTGTAACCAGTGCTACCTTCACAGGTGTGGCTCTTGGAAATGAACGCCAACCCTGCCCTGCACACCAACTGCACGGCGCTGAGGAACGTGATCCCCACGGTGGTGAACGAGACGCTGAGTAAGTTGCAAGAATCTGGGGGGCTGAGAAGGACTTGGGTGTGGGACCTTGGCATTTGGCAAGCAAAATATTTCTTTCGGGTCTGCTCGGAAAACGGGTGGGGGGGGAAAAACCCCGAATAAAGGCAGTCCTCGACTGACGATCGCAATGGAGCCCCCAAAATTTCTGTTGCTAAGCGAGACAGCGGTTAATATGAGTTTTGCTCACTTCAGCTGTTAAGTTAGCAACCCGGTTGTTAAGTGAATCTGGCTTCCCCGTTGACTTTGCTTGTCAGAAGGACGCAAAAGGCGATCGCATGTCCCCCGGGGACACCGCAACCGTCGTAAATATGAGTCAGTGGCCAACCGTCCAGATTTTGATCACGTGACCCCGGGGATGCTGCAGCGGTCGCAAGTGTGAAAAAAGAGCCATAAGTCCTTTTTCTCCCCCCCCCAGTGCCGTTGTAATTTCAAACGGTCCTTAAATGAAAAGCTCGTAAGTCGAGGACTATCTGTAGCTGGGAGAGCATCTTTGTCTCTCTCTCTCTCGACGTTACGCAGACACATTTAAGGATATTGCTGAGCGAATAAGTTAAGTCTCAATGGGGTGGGCAATTCTGGCAGTTGAAGTCCCCGTAGCTTCAAGTTGCCAAACGCCAGATTAGAGCATTTGAAAGCCACTTCAGGCCAGGGCCGACTTTCTTTGCTCCAATCAGGATTTTCTCCCATTTAGGCCATCCTCTGTTGAGTTTTCTGGGGAAAACCCAGCACTCTCCCTCTCTCTCCCTAAGGATCCCCCCCCTCCCTAGACTGAACCCTGCTCTCGATTCCCTTGCCGCTTTCAGATCTGACCGTGGAGATCTTCACCAAGGCTCAGAAGACCCAGAGCCTCCTCCCTCTGGAGTCCCTCTGCCACTTCGTCCTTCTCTACAACGGAACGGCTTCCAACAACGGGCTCCCCCTGCCAGCCAAGAGCAAGACCTCCCTCTGTTCCCTCAAGACCCCCCGGGCGAGTCTGGAGAGAGCCAGCGGCAGCAGCAGCAGCCCCGGGGTGCCCAACCTTCCGCCGGACAAACCGCCGCCCCCCAAAGTCTCCGAGAAAGCGCCAAAGGCAGACAGCCGAGGAGACAGCAAGGGAGAGCCCGCGGGCGCTCCGGAAGGGCTGGCTGTGCCCCCCAGCAAAGGCGTCCGACGGGACCCGCTCCCCATGCCTCAGATCCAGATCTCCATCGTCCCCAGCCTGACCTGCTGCCCTTCCGTCAAAGCCATCCTCCGGGGGCATCAAGTCTGCACCAGCGGCAACCAGTACATCATCAAACCGGTTCCGGCCGCCCCGGACAAGGCCGAGGGCGCCGAGGATCAAGGCAAGGCCCTCAACCTGCCCCGGGGGAACTCGAAAGATAAGTCCTACGCCACCTGGTTCCAGCAGACCTTCGGGACCAAGCTGCCGCCGGCCAGCGACAACCCCAACGGCGGGGAGAACGCCTTGACCAGCTCGCAGATGCTCTCCCTCCATCTGCAGTCCAGCCTGCCGCCCAACAGCTTGCTTCTTCCGGAGTTCCCCAAGTCCTTCTCCCCGCTCGGGGTCCCCGCCAAGAGGCTGCCGGCAGCCGAGACCAAGCCCAGGGCCGTCGCCGTGAGTCACAGTTGCCGGGAATTGCTCCCGGAGGAGAAAAAGGTCTCCCACCGGGGTTCTTAAAACCACCATCCCCACACAACCCGTGTCCGGAGTCTGGTGCGTGTCCAAAGTCCTCGTCTCTCTTTTTTTTCTTATAAAGGAACAAAAACGGGAAGGAAAAGAAGGCAGAAAGAAACATTCTTTCTGAGGTGTTCCAGCATCTTTCTTGGCAGGGGATGGTGGGCACGCGGCGTCTGCGTCTCTCTCCGGGTCTCTGAAAAAAAACGACAGGGGCAAAATACTTGTATTTGCTTAAAAAAAAACAACAAAAAAAAAAGAGCCAATAGCTTATTATTTTTATTTTTTAATCTTTCGAGCCTCGGAGAGTTTTCTGGGTTCTGCTTTTCTCCCCCTTTGACATTATTATTATTTTTCTCCCCCCCCCCCAAGACTTAACGACCACCCGAATGGGCTGGGCTACCATTCCCATCGTCCCAAGGTAGTGCAAAATAATGGGTGGTTTCAAAGCTTCGACTGGACTAGATGATCTCTCTGGGGCCCCTTCCAACACTCCGGTTCTGGATTTGAGACATCCCAACATTTCAGAAAGGTATACCGGGTTGAGGTCTTTGGGTAGGTGATGATGTGCTAGGGGGAAATCACATCACACAGCCAGCCCGTGATGCATGAATAATACACAGCCAATAATAATAATAATAATAATAATAATAATAATAATAATAATAATAATAATAATAATAATAATAATAATAATAATAATAATAATAATAATAATAATAATAATAATAATATACTGCATCCTAAACTGGGGTCGAAATGCCCAGCCTCCAGTTTCTTTCAGTAGGCTTTTTGACCCTTCCTGTGGCCACAACCATGTGCTTCATTAAGCACACAGGACTTGGGATGACCCACCACAAGGACAAACTTTGTCTTCTAATTCTTGGTCGTTCTCTTCCAGCGGCTTCCGTTTTTCTGCCTCATTCTCAACTCCCCCCCACCGAAAAAGGTCTTCGGGTCAGCTTTCCAAAGGCTACAGCCCATCCTGCCGAGTTGGGCAGAGGTTGGGCCCCTCCACCCACCCTTCCCAAAAGCTTCACCTGGGGTGTGCGTTATGCTCCCAGCATGCTCCCTATGCGCTAGGGACGATTCCTGGATGCCCAGCCAGGCGTAACTGAGAGGCCCACGGCATTCGCACAACCGGCGGTCCCAGCCCTCCCTCCCAATCCTTGCAGGATGGTGGCACCGCCGGGATGCTCAACAGTCTTCCCGGCCTCTCCCGCCTGTTTCCCTGTGGGATCTGATTTTGCAAATCAGATTTCCATGAGATCTGGCCTCCCACTAAAGAACTTATGGCTGTTACTCTAGCTCACATCTCACCGGTGGAATCCTTTACACCATCACTGAGTATCTTTGGTGGAGGGATGAAGTCAAGCAGCTACAGCCATCAAGAGCAGGGGTCTTCAAACTTGGCCCTTTGGCCAGGCTGAGGAATTCTGGGAGTTGAAGTCCACAAGTCATCAAAGGGCCAAGTTTGAAGACCCCTGGTCAAGAGGTTCTTGAACTTTTAACTGCCTTCATCCTTCACCCTTCCGAGCTGATGGGAGTTACAATTCCCCATTTTGACGGTAAGAAGTTCCTGGCCTCCCCTAAATTTCATTACCCCACAACACCAAGGAACTAAATCCAGGATTGGGGATTTATGCAAATTCTGCTTTTTATTCGCACAAGGCCACCGTTCTCATATACAAAGCTAGGACAGTCGCAAACAGAATAATTTGCCTCTACAAATCTCCCTTTTTCTACCCTTCCATCACCCCGAAGGAGAGCAAAACAAGACTTCATTAATCGAGGTCTGTCTGGTTTCGTAAAGGGAGACACAAAAATCAAAGCTCCCTCCCCATTCTTTCTTTCTTTTTTTTGATCTTACTGTTTATTTGATGAGAAGGGTCTTTGCTTCGGCCCCGGTGTGGCTTCGGAAGCGAGGGTTTCCTTTTGGCAACATGGGGATCACGTTTGAAAACAAAACAAGCCCAGATAGAAGGGGGGTTTGTGTGCATGCATGAAAATGCAACCCATCTCAAGAAACGTGTTGGAGCAACAAAAAAAAGCGTGCTTGAGGAAAACTGATTGAGTCATCTTTCTGTGACTTCCGAGCTGACTTGTTTAACTTGGTTAGAAAGAAAACTGGAAAAAAACAAAAAACCCCGGCGCTATCGAAAAGTGCCCGGGTGGGAGATTGTGGGAATGTATTATCTGATAAAACGAAAAGCTGAAAAAAGAAAAGAAAAGAAAAGTCACAAGGAAGCCAGGTTCACTTCACACAACCGGGTTTTGCTAGCTGATCAGCTGCAGTGGTTCCCTTAACAAGGGTGGCAAGAAAATTCGTAAAAAGGGGGCCAAACTCACTTAACCAACGGCTCGCTTTGCCACAGAAATGTTTCTGCTCAATTGTGGCCGTAAGCTGAGGACTCCCTGTGTTGGCAGCATCGCAAGACAGATTCTCCCTTGTTTGAGCCGGCAGTTTAATAATAATAACAACAACAACAACAATACCAATATTATTACCAATAGTCATAGGTGCCTTGGGTGCAATCCCAAAACAACTGGAGCGACACTTGGACACCATCATCGGCATTGACACATTCGCCATCCGTCAATTGCAAAAGGCGGCCTTACTAGGAACTGCTTCCATCCTGCAACAATATCTGTTAATACCATCAAACATCCACATCTGCCTATCCCAGGTCTTTGGTACAAGGACTCCATAGGTAGACAAAAATGCCAAATCCAGTCTGAACATCTGGCTGACTGTGCGACGATCCATAATAATAATAATAATAATAAAAGTTGGAAGGGACCTTGGAGGTTATCTAGTCCAACCCACCCACCCACCCCGCTCAGGCAGGAAACCCTACACCATTTCGGACAAGTGGCTGTCCAGTCTTGGCTTCCCAAGACCGTTTTGAAGACCAACATGGTTGTAAGGATTACCTCTCCTTTCTTAACCCCTTCCTAAGATATCCTCGGTCCTATCCTAGTCCGAAACTGGATTCAGACCTTGGAAGAGCTGAGCTAGGATAAACTGTAACCCAGGTCCCCGAATAATTCTGGCTTAGAAAAGCAGCAAAGCATAATAGGTTTTACCAGCATCAGCAGCTTTGAATGGGGAAAGTCCCCCCCCCTCTCTCACGCCTGGCAAAGAATGACGAAAACCGAATTATGAAAACCGCTATAGGTAGAAAGCCCGGATGCCCACAGCTATTTCTGAATCTGCAAAGTCTCTTTCATATGCAGATTTTTCGAGGATGAGTTTCTGTTTTGTCTCTGAAAAAGGCATCAGGTGGTACGATCTGAAGGTTGTTGCTTAATGACTTTGTGGGTCGTTCATCAGAGGAGCGAAAGGGGCTGTGAAAATTGTTGGAAACACACACACGCACAAACACACATGCACACAGAGAGAGAGAGAGAGCTTCTATCTTCTTCGGTATATATTCCACTTTTTGATTGTTTTGACGTTTCAAAATATTCTTTCAGATTTGTACAGAATAGCCCACTCGAAGGGAGCATTACATTTCTTTTCTTTTTTTAAAAAAAAAGAGGAGTAGGAAGAAGAGGAAATTGTTATAAAATAGGAAATGGCCCATCAGATTTCAGGGAAAGCTTTGTGGCAATTGTAAGAAACGAACCGGTTGGATGGTTCTTGATTTCTTTTAAGGGGGAAATGGCCTTTTGCTAAGTCAGAGAAATTTAGGTTGAAAAATCAAAACTCAAGCTGGGAAAGGAGACCAACATCTTTTTCAAATCCATAGATTCCTTCCTTCCTTCCTTCCTTCCTTCCTTCCTTCCTTCCCTCTCTCGTTTTACATTCCTTCCTATTTTTCCTTCCTTCCTCCATCCCTCCTTCTCTTCCTTTTTTTCCTTCCTTCCTTCCTCCCTCCATCCCTCCTTCCCTCCATCTCCTTCCTTCCTTCCTTTTTCTTCCTTCCTTCCTTCCTTCCTTCCTTCCTTCCTTCCTTTCTTTCTTTCTTTCTTTCTTTCTTCTCTTAGAAACTTGGTAGAGGAAAACAGATTTGCAGGGAGAACGCGGAGGTATTTTTTTTCCTGACTTATCTTTGGACCCTAAGCTCATTCTCTGAAGTTAGATTTAGGCCAGTCAGTAATTTAATGTCTTTCTTTATCCAAGTGACCTTATGGAAGCGATGAGTTTTCAGAAGCTTGAAACCGATGGCGGGGGGCTGATCTGTCGGAGAATTTGGGGAAGCCAATTTCTTGCATCACAGGGGCTGGACTAGATGACCTGTGAGGTCATTTCCAAACTCTAGGATTGCTTGGGGCATTTCCAGAAGCAACTGGAAATCAGACGATCAGTGAAAAGAAGATTGGCTTTAGCCAAAGTGCTTTAGCCGTTGCGCTCGTGCAAACAAAAAAAAAGACACAGAAAGCTTTACAATTTACATCCTGTCTTTATTATTTTTACACATAACTCAGGGTGGCAGACATATGCAACACACCTTCCTCCTCCTATTTCCCCCACAACAGCCCTGTGAGGTGGGCTGGGCTGAGGGAAGGGGTCTGGCCCAACGTTACCCTGCCAGCTTTCATGCCTAAGGCAGGATTTGAACTCACAGTCTCCCGCTTTCCAGTCTGGTGCCTTAACCGCTGGATCAAACTTCCCAAGACGTTCATTGGGTGACATTTTCATCCTATTTTTAGATGTACTTTGCCCCCCCCCCAAGTCTGACTTGCAAACAAAAAAAATTCTCAAAAGCAAAACTGTTATCAATGTTCATGAAGACCTTGATCATTTCAAAATTCAAAAAGAGGAGCACCAAAATCACCCATGTTTTTTCAGATTTGTGAATCTGAAAATCAGAGTTTCCAGATCTATCATCTCTCTATATCTATCTGCCTGTCTATGTCTGTCTGTCTGTCTGTCTATCTATCTATCTATCTATCTATCTATCTATCTATCTGTCTGTCTGTCTGTCTGTCTGTCTATCTATCTATATCTATCTATCTATCTATCTATCTATCTATCTATCTATCTATCTATCTATCTA